AAAAAAAAAAAAAACAAAAAAAAACCACAAACAAACAAAAGTAAGAAAAAGGGAAGTAGTTTTTTATATATAGTAGATAATATAAAAATGGGCCCATAGCAATTCAAGAGGCACCCTACAGCTCAAACGCATTTTCATTTCAAAATCGATTCTAACGAAGTACTAATAAAAATGATAAAAATATAAATAATTCAGGCTCAGTAGTCGTCTTAGTTCCTGGATGATGTCCTAATAAATATTGCTATTTTAACAATCAAATTCAATACTATTAAGTCTAGGAAACCTACACACCCAAAAAATTCAAAAACACTTTTTCATAGGCTGAAAAAAAAGTTCATTTCAGAGAAATCAAGAAAGATTTTAAACTCTCAGCGCGAAAGAAAAACATAGACGACTTTAATTCCTAGCATGGCAAATTGTTTGCCTTATTTCTTGCTTTCTTGACACTTCATCAGAAATTTAGAGTGGGTTCATTCATAAGATAGCACATAAAGATATCTCTAAAAGATAAAATTAGACAGGATTGGTGCTGTGAAAAAGAATGTTTATAAGCTTTTAAGCAAGAAATTATTCAAGTTCGAGTTTTCACGAAAAAAGGCGATTGGCATTGAAGTGGAATTTGCGCGCGGAGGCAATTAAACTATCTTTTCTTGACCCACTTTTTCAATCTAGGTACTAATTTTAGAAATTGTCTTGGAAAAATAGTAAGCCTATGAGTTGAAAAACAACTCAAAATGAACCATGCTAAAGGATTCACTCTAAGATGTTTACTGTAGATGTTTACATAGAGATATACAATACGAAAAAATAAGGGTATTTTTTGTCAAATTTAAACAAACTAAAAGCGATTATAAAATTGCAAGTCTTGCTTACCTTACAAGCTAATCATAAAGAAAGAAGCTGTCTTTTTTGAGGCAAATGAAGATCTGATAGATGTTCGTAGCTTGGCTGGAATCTGTTATATTATACCTTTGGATCTTGTCGTTCGTCGCGTCCGAGTCATCGAAATGAAGCGTGGACTTCCTGCACGAGAAGAGGATATGTTGTTAGAGAGGGAACTAGGAACTAGGAGCTGATTGGATGATAGAAAGTGAAAATGAGGCATAACTGTGGAGATGGTTATAAGAGCTAAAGCAGCAGCTGTAAAATCATCAGCAACAGCGAAACAGCGAAAACAAACGGACAACATCCACAGCAACTAAAACAGCAACAACTGAAAACAATAAACCAAATCCAGACATTAACCGGCCCTGTAACAACCTCTAGGCTGATCAAAGTAAACGCACGGATAACTACTGACAGATAAAATCAAAGTTTAGCTTGTTTTCAGCGGAGGGAGGAAAGACAGAGAAAGCCCCTCGATTAAGGGGAGAGACAAAACAAACTCTGGTCGCATGTGGTGCCGAGTTCAAGTATCGACCCCGAGTGCCCAGAGGTGAGAAACAAGTGAAATGCCACGCTACCATTGTTGACTTTGTATAGTAAATTGCACGATCTTGAGTACAATTCGTAATTTATAGGTACGAATGATGTTTTGAACGTTTTCAAAATTGGACGAGCCTTTAGGCGAGTTCAATTTGAGAACTTTCAAAACATCACGAGTATCTATAAATTCAGAATTGTACGAGMAGATTGTGCGATTTTTTGTTTATAATACACTCAACAAAACTGAGCAACTTAATTGGGACTCTACAAAGTACAATTTGGGATTTAATTGTACTCCTCTTGACCAATCAGAATCGAGTGATTTGGTTGAGTGTATTGTAATAGTTTGTATATGTAATAGGACTCCATGCTGTCCAATTAAGAAATAATTGGACGAGGAAAATTCCGAGGACTTCCAATTTGGTAGTCAGAGGAATTTTTCGAGTCTAATTATTTCTTGATTGGGGAGCATGAAATCCCATTACCTATTAATTATGTAGCTGCCTAATTAATCCCATATCAACAAGACCTGTCCAATTAAGAAAATAGTTGGACAGTTACCTATATGGGATTAATGAGAAGCTGTATAATAATAATAATAATAATAATAATAATAATAATAATAATAATAATAATAATAATGTGTCGATCACGTGATCATTCGCTTGTTGTTCGGTTAGTTCTAGGTCGCTCTTTTTAATTACCACTGTAATGGAAATTCCTTCTGCTAGGCGAGTATATATTTAAGTATCGATCGTGATCGTACCAACGCAACTGCTTTGAGTTCACGTCGTCAAAATTAAGTCATAAGTTAAAATTCTGGTGATGCACTCAGTGCATCGCACCCACGCGCACCAAAATGCGTGCGCAAGACGTTCTATTTTTCGGTTCAACACTTCGATCAGTTGAACATCAAAACAACCGCAACGTCAAGGCAAAAAGAAAAGGCCATTAATAATGATTACATTTATTTTCGTCTTCTTTGACCTGGACAACTCTTGGGTTGATTAATCGATGCCGAAAGCAGATAATTGGAATAACGAGAGTTAAAATAGCGAAGATATTCTACGGTATAATTGAAAACACTTTGAATTCATATCAAATGCATTAAAAATGATATTTTTGTTATTTCTTTCAGGAACTTGTCGGTTCCGGCAAGATTGGCCTGTGTGGGGCATTCGTAACATGTTATCTATCGTATTGGTTCTGTTAATAACTGTACTGTAACGTCTATAGATGGGAACCCAAACATCTTAATGTGTTGTTTATTTGGTTTGAATTATTGTGCCCTTAGCCTACAGCAAAACCTGATATGTACTGATAATACTAATATTGGTCGATGCGTTGTTACTTCGAGAGCTTTATTCCCGGTTCTCCGGTCTACCTTCCTCCGAAAAAATCAACAACTCTAAATTGAAATTCGATTTCCTAGGATCTCAGAATCAGGTTTCGGTCCCAGATCCTCACGGGCCCGCGACGGCTGCGGAGCAGACTAAGAATCAGAGGGCCGTAAGTTTACTAAAGACGCAATACAAAAAAAGGCAAAATATATTGTGCCCGCTTTCAGGAGACATTACTTTCTTCTCAGCCCTCTTCCTCCACTCTTTTCAGGATTTGTACGACACTATTTTGGTCAACCGCTAGAATTTTTACACCTTGGTAGAATTATGTCTAGCATTATTCAAAGATTTAAATGATATCTACCCACCATAACGTCTTTAGTCTATCAAGTCTTTCACCATCGTTTTTTTTTTCGGGAGGAGTGTGTGTGGGAGGTGGGGCGTGATTCGAAAAAGAAACATGGTGACCAAATGCGAGATAAGTTCCGTGCGTACCAATGTACCCTACATGGACGTAATACAGTAACTTTGCTTTAATTTTTGTTTTCAAGGATGCGTAACAATTTGGGATAGTCTTGGAGAAAACAGTGAAAAGGTTAAGGAATGGCTCAAAGGATCACAGATGTGAACACAAAAATCTTTATAAATATGCCTAACACCATTACTGATGGTTATCCCCAGTGGAGACTGAAGGAATCTACCATTTGACATGACATAATAAATAATAATAATAATAATAATAATGATGATGATGATGATGATGGTAATGATGATGATTCTAATGCCAATGCCTAATATCAGTACTAATACTAATATGAATAGTAATGCTAATAGTAATAGTAATACAAATACGAATGCTAATACATATTGATACTAATACTAATGTTAATAATAATTAATACTCATACTCATACTAATTAATACTAATGCTAATTAATACTAATACTAATTAATGCTAATACTAATTAATGCTAATACTAATTAATGATGATGATGATGATGGTAATGATGATGATTCTAATGCCAATGCCTAATATCAGTACTAATACTAATATGAATAGTAATGCTAATAGTAATAGTAATACAAATACGAATGCTAATACATATTGATACTAATACTAATGTTAATAATAATTAATACTCATACTCATACTAATTAATACTAATGCTAATTAATACTAATACTAATTAATGCTAATACTAATTAATGCTAATACTAATTAATGATGATGATGATGATGGTAATGATGATGATTCTAATGCCAATGCCTAATATCAGTACTAATACTAATATGAATAGTAATGCTAATAGTAATAGTAATACAAATACGAATGCTAATACATATTGATACTAATACTAATGTTAATAATAATTAATACTCATACTCATACTAATTAATACTAATGCTAATTAATACTAATACTAATTAATGCTAATACTAATTAATGCTAATACTAATTAATGCTAATACTAATTAATGCTAATACTAATTAATGCTAATACTAATTAATGCTAATACTAATACTAATATTAATTAATACTAATACTAATATTAATTAATACTAATACTAATATTAATTAATACTAATACTAATTAATACTAATATGACACGACATTAGAACAGATGATAATGAGTTCATTTATCCCAGGTGAACGCTGTTTAAGTGAAGAAATCAAAACAAAGCCAAGGTTAATCCACTAAAAGTGCTGTTAATTTGAGCATAAAACCATGACTATCAGTCTTGTCCCACGCATTTTCAATTTGCTTGATGATATGCAGTCGTAGAAGGTCAAATGTTGCGTTAGATCCGATTATCGAAAACACTCAAGACAACATAACAGAGCCCTCAAAACACACTCCAATATAATTATCTCAAACTGTTCATAAAATACCGTTTAGGAAAAGGAGTCAAAACGTTGATAAAGATAACCCAAAGACTTAGGAAATCGCTCTATGAAGAACGATGGAAAGATGGTTAGATGTGTACCGCTGTTTCCCGAGGGGGGGGGGGGGGTACTCCCCTATATTCGCTATACGGGTACGTACCGCCAAACAGGGTATAGTTTTCAGCAATTCTACACTGGAACAGCGTATATAAAATCGCTTTCGCTCTGGAACAGGGTATATGAAATCACGCTCTCTCCTCTCTGGAACAGGGTATCTTTTCGCAAAGCCGGAACAGGGTATGGTTTTCAGCGATCTTGCTCTGGAACAGGGTATGAATTTCAGCGATTCAGTGGGCTCAGCGGCACATCTCTACCCTAAACGGGCAAGAGTACCCCCGGGCGCTGTTTAGTGTTAAAGGTTGTGAAACTCCGGTGAAACTGGAACTCGAGGTTTGAAAGACGAGGCATACCTCATGTTTAAATTTTTAAAAAAATGCTTATACTTTTGTTTGGCAAGGGAGGCATGATTACTAAGAGACTCGTGTAAAAGAGGATGACTTAGTTGCAGTAAATGCGAGCGCATTTCATGTGACATGGGGAATCTACCACCCCTCTCGTGCTTCCACTTTGTCTTTATGACAGATACTTTCGGCAATAAAACACTCGAAAAAAATCGATAGAAGTCAAACTAAAGGTACATACCTACAAGAATCCAAGCAACATCCTCCTGGCCGAGCGAACGAGAGGAAAGACACGTGAAAGGATCATGGTGGCCGTCAATCAAAAAGTTTCCATGACAACGTCGGGATAGATAAAGTGCATACCTTCCAACCAACTACTTTGCGCGTGTTATTGGCTGATAAAAACATTCCTTTTTCTAATAATTTTCTAATTTTCTAATCCACTATATCCACTGAAATTCTCATGATACATTGAGAAAATATATAGTTACACTAAACACATTCTATAAGAAGAAAAAAAAGGGGGGAAACACAGCAAAAGCAAAACGCATGCGAAAATAAAGGGAAGTCAATTAAAGACATATGCGCGGTGTGTGAAAACCTCATCGGTAAATACGGTAAATATTGGTACAGAAGCTACTTCTAAACCGGAAATAAAATCGATTATCACTGTAATATTAAATATTCATGGGATCAGAAATGTTCTACCGAAAGACTAGGCTCCATTCAAAGCCAGATTTAAAGCAAAGTTAATCGTATCATCTATCGAAAGACGATGCAGTCAAATATACTGACTAATTATTTTAGGATTAGCTGCATCAACTTTGTTTTTACTGTTGTTTTATTATGTATTATATTATTTTATCTTTCTTTTTCTTTTTCTTTTTTTTTTATTTGAGTTAGCTATAAAATAGTTTGATTTCGAATGAATACTTTTTTACGAGTATCTGTAATTCTTTGGTCGTGAAATGTTAGTTTTCTTCTGATTTGTGAAGCGTACGACATCAATAAGTCGCATTTGAAGCCTTTCGCTATCTTCCTTCACGTTTCTGATGTATTTACTCACCTTTGGGAGAAATCCCTCGCGTTCAGATATAGAGAAATCTATATGGTTTCAACTACATAGACCAACAATCTTTTTTTTTTTGGCTGAGTTACAAAAATTTACTTGTCTCCAGATCGAGATACCCAAAGCAAATTGAATAGAATATAGTTCCAGATGTTCACAACTCTGAATGGCTCAGCTTTACGATGCCAGAAATAGTGGAAAACACTGAATCACCTTGATAATAAACGTCACATCGATTCAAATATGAGCCAACAAGGTCGGCTTGATTACAAAGACTAAATGTAATCCTACTTCAGAAAACGAGCTACCATTTCTGACATGATTGAGTGATAGAAAACATAATTAATTAACCTGATTTGGATCTGAACTTTTTGGAAGCCGATAGAAAGGAAACGGTTCTCTAAATCACCTGCCTCGCTGTATTGACCATCAAATACTTGATTATCTACAGGGAGCAAGAAAAACTTGGAAATTTCATTGCTTTCTTTTTCGTTCGATTGAATATCGTTGTAGTTTGTGCCGTAGTAGAAGACAGCTTGTGCACGTGACTTTTGCGATGTTGGTGAGTTTTACGCCGAAAGATAAACTTAATTGGAAAGATAACTTCATATCCGGTAATAATAATTGAACGGCTGTACATCACCGTTAGCGGTCATGACTATTAAATACGAAAGCAAGGCAAATTGCACGCGCTTAATTGGGAGGTAGAGAAGGGGTTATGTTAGGGAAAGCGAGGTGAAGAGAATAAAAGGGGCAGCCATGTTAGATGATGTTCTGACTATAGGTGGTTTGTAATCATTCCTAAGAGAATAAAAGTGGCAGCCATGTTGGATGGTGTTCACTATAGGTGGTTTGTAATCATTCCTAAGAGAATAAAAGTGGCAGCCATGTTGGATGGTGTTCACTATAGGTGGTTTGTAATCATTCCTAAAGGAATAAAAGTGGCAGCCATGTTGGATGATGTTCACTATAGGTGGTTTGTAATCATTCCTAAGGGAATAAAAGTGGCAGCCATGTTGGATGATGTTCACTATAGGTGGTTTGTAATCATTCCTAAGGAAATAAAAGTGGCAGCCATGTTGGATGGTGTTCACTGTAGGTGGTTTGTAATCATTCCTAAGGAAATTTTAAAAGTGGCAGCCATGTTGGATGATGTTCACTATAGGTGGTTTGTAATCATTCCTAAGGGAATAAAAGTGGCAGCCATGTTGGATGGTGTTCACTATAGGTGGTTTGTAATCATTCCTAAGGAAATTAAAGTGGCAGCCCTTTCGGATGATGTTCACTATAGGTGGTTTGTAATCATTCCTAAGAAAATTAAAGTGGCAGCCCTTTCGGATGATGTTTACTATAGGTGGTTTGAAACATTCCTAAGAGAATAATGACATATTGGATGCTGATAGTGACTCAGTAACCCATCCAATCACAACCCGTAGTTAAGGCTGTTATCCTTTCCCACACATACGAAAACTGCTCTCCTTTCAAAAGTTGTCAAAAACGACGGTCAATCAGGCGACATTTGCCAATAGAGTATAAAACTAATGAGTCTGAATACCTATTAGATTACGATCTGTTTTCACAATTCAATCAAAACATGTTGAGAGCTTTAACAGAATTCAGTTCTAATGGTGATGAAATATATTTGTCATAGTTTACAGTCTTGACTTTATTTGATATTATTAATTGATTCAGGTCTAGGCTAAGGCAGTTTAAAAAAATTTTTCTAGTAAAGGCGCTGAAATATGAGACACAAAAACGTCCAACTTGTCCAAATTTGCGATTTGTTGCTCGTTTTTTTATCACTCGTCCAACTTGTCACGCAACATTTTATGTGTAGAAGCTGCCGCCATCTTGAATTATGTAGCTCGTAGCCAATCAGCGTGCAGAATATCACCGTGATAGTCCCAACTTGCAACATTAGATTTTGTTGCGTAACAAGTTGGATAGATAGCAAGGATGTAAAACGAGCAACATTTTTTTCGAACTTGCACCGCAACAATGTTGCGCGACAAGTTGAACGTTTTTGTGTCTCGTATTTCAGCGCCTTAAGGGCCCGTTGGCACTAGACCGACAAAAATTGTCCGAGTCATTTTGATTCATGACAAAAATTGGCTTTGACAAAAAATCGTTTGGCCTGTTGTGTTCGTACTACAAGATACCAAAACCTGATCCGCAAGAAGTATATGTCAATCAAAATGGAACACTATCGAAATAAGGAGAGGAGAGCAGACCACAGCATAGCAGAACAGAGCGGCGCAAAGCAGAGAGCAGAGCAGAGCAGAGCAGAGCAGAGCAGAGCAGAGNAGAGCAGAGCAGAGCAGAGCAGAGCAGAGCAGAGCAGAGCAGAGCAGAGCAGAGCAGAGCAGAGCAGAACAGAGCAATAGGAAGTTTCTACTTTCATTCACAAAACTAATTAATGTAATTACCTTTTTACCTGACCCAGCCAAGACAGGGCGTTGACGTTTGTTTCCAAACCTCCCTCATGCTTGATTATCGCGGGGAACCTGCACATTAAAAATAGAAAATAAAAACAAACTAAGTATTTTCGGATAACATATTCTGCAGTGTTGAGGTTAATCTTCTAAGTTGATCTAATCAATATTTAATGATCAGATAATAACTAATAAGAAATCGCGTGCAAGATGAGCTGAAAACGGACTACATTGAATGGTTGATCTATCTGCAGGAATGAATTGATTCAAGAGGATCTTAACTGTTCTAAATGGGATTAAAAAAAACCAAGATAAACACATTTTGGAACTAACGTATAATATGAAGTGCGAGCGAACGAGCGAGCTGCAGATAGTGAGGGGAAGACTGACTGAACCGAACTGAAAACTACGAATACAGTATTAAGAATAAATTGCTCGTGATTAAATAATCATATTGTCATTATTAAGGTGGCCGACTACTTTTCAACATTCGATTTGAGCCCACGATGTGCGCGCGCTCAAAAACCGCTGAATAATCTTCACGATTTTATTGAAGAACCATACACGTTTTGAACTTCAAGAGGGCAAAGCCCTCAAATTTTGCACGGGAATCTATATTCTTTTGTCATTTTTCGGAATAACAGGTAATATTCCATCATTTTTCAAAGTTTAAGACAATTCTGTTTATTAGAACAATGTAAAAAAGCGTTGTGTTTGTTTTGTGCTCAATTTTTACGATAACTTGCACACCGTAGAACCTGAACAAAATAAATAAATATATAAAAAAAAAATCCCATTGTCTACAAGCATTTTATAAATATAGTGTAAGTTACGTGTTCGGAGAGAACTCATGTTTCTTCCTTAGTTTTGGTTTTATGACTTTTTTGTACAGAGCTTGATTTTCGCTATTTTTCTTCCAAAATTGTACAAACGCATGTAATTCCGAAGCGATTATCTCAAAAACAAGCTCGAGACACCCCATTTTTCTTTGCATTTTTGAAATCAACATTAAATTTCAGGGAGGAAAACCAGAGAACCCTGCTGAGAAACACGTGTTTTTTAAAGCGTGAAGTACGGGAGGTGCGCGCTGCTTTAGTAATGCGAGTGAGATATGCGAGTAGAGTTGCTTGTTGGTTCTCTCCTCTGCCTCAAGGGTTTTCGTTCTCCGGGTCCGTGAAATAAGGACAATTTAGAAAAGCCTAAAAAAATGCCATGGAGAGAACGAACAAATGATTCTAGTTACGTACGACACAAACAAGAGATAACATCTACTTCACCATCTCAAAGGATTATATCTTAGACTAACACCAAAGCGAAGAATTCACTTTCTAACGATGCACTTAAAAGGATTATGCACCATATCTGAAATATCAAATATCTAGAATAGCTTAAGATATCCTTCAATAGGCCTTTTGCAACAACAGGTCACGTGACCCTACCCCCCGTAAAAAGAGACGTTGTGTCAAAATGAACACCAGGAATCGAAAGAGCACCTCAATATTAGTAAGAAAGCAAAGTTTTAGCTTATAATGTTGACTATGGTAGAAATGGCATAAAATATAAAATTGAATATTTTATAAGGATTTGTATGGGAAAATGTGCTGGCGGGCATAGCTTGCCCTCCAGGACATTTTCCCATACAAATCCTTATAAAATATTCGATTTTGTATTTAATGCCATTTCTCCTGTGTTACATGTCATAAGCTGAAACTTTGGTTTCTTACTAATTTCGAGGTGYTCTTTCCATTTCTGTTGTTCATTTTGACACAACGTCCCTTTTTACGGGGGGTAGGGTCACGTGACCTGTTGTTGCAAAAGGCCTATTGACTTTTAAACCTTAATGAAGATTATTATGCTGGATAAAAATCTTTTTACAGAGAGAGAGAAAAATATTTAAGAAATGGCGTTGCCCTAGGCGACATTTGCGTCAAGACCCTTTCTAGTTCAAACATTATATGGGATATTTTTATATGATGAAAAATAATTATTACAAGTGTGTAAACATCGTAAGGCAAATCATCGTCGCCAGTTATCCAGGACACTGCGCCCGCGATCAGTCAGCGTATGATACCAATCTCCTAGAAAAAATGGCTTCTAGAAACACAGGCAGCCTGATAAGTTCTGATGAAGCTTCACTTTTAGTTAGCGAAAAACGCTTGGGATTGAAGAGCAATGAAAAGAAATTTGGTCTCGTTTAATAAACGAGCAGGAGTGTTTTATCGGGTATAAAACACGAGGATTAGCCGAGTGGTTTTAGACCCGATAAAACACGATCTGCGAGTTTATTAAACGGCTTAAAAAACTCATGATGTATGTTCTCATATTCAGGGCCGTAGCCACAAATTTCTGATTGGTCCGGTTTTCGAGGGTTTTCGGTTTTTCTTGCATTTTAAAAATATTTTTCTTATATTTTTTTCCCGAAAGTTGGTCCGGTTGAAACCGGACCAACCGTACCGGTGGCTACGGCCCTGATATTGTACCGAATTCTTTACGAAATTAACCAAGTTTGATAGAGAAAATCCAAGTTAAAGTTTATGCAAATAAAGACGAATCGATATCAGGCCTCAACTTATTTTATTGCCACTCTCAATTCTATTTCAAATGATAAGTTTAAAAATAAGATGATCTTCAATAAAAAAAATCACAAGACTTGAGATATTGAATTGTCAATTGTTCTATAAACAAGATAATCCAAAAGAAAGAGAAGAAATAAGACGTTTGCATGATGGTGTCATTTGACTCCCACTACCACAATCCTTTGCGAATTTTCTTTCTTATTTAAATTTGTGTTTCCTCGTGAGAATAGTAAGACAGTTGGTGCTAATGAACTGAACAAAAGAGAGTGTGCAAGGGAGTCTGGTAGTAGAGGTCAATGAAGCCATCATGAAAATGTCCTAATTTGCTTCCAGGTGGAATGTCACGTGACCCGGCATTTTCCGCCGGTACGATGTCGATGGAATCGGAGAATTGGCAAAAACTGGGGGGGGGGGGACTTATGCCTATGCGAAGAAAACGTGTTCAGATAAAAATGAATACAAGAGAAGAAAGAAGACACTAAGAGAATAAATATACATTTGAGGAAGATATTTAAAAGAAAGCAGGTTTTAGGGACTATAAATTTGTGCAGAAACGCACAGCCCACTGGGTACTTTCGAAATACCACCCTCTGGCAAGCGTGACTGAAATGCTAAAAAAGCTAAATTGTCTATTATATCTCTTGCTCATCGTAGAGCTGTTGTTTAAGGTTGTAAATGGCCTTGTGGCAGTCAACTCACGCAACAACCTAAAAAAGGCTACAAGAAAATCAAGCCATGTAAAGAAACACTCTTTTTCTCGCAGTCAGATCAATGTGTCACTGAATCTCACAGATAGTCTTTTTATCCAAGAACAGTAAATCTTTGGGAAGCCTAAGTAGTATAGGGGATGGGGGTTCTAAAACAACCACCACACGAGGATCACCCGCGTAAAGTGACCATCGCGATTCAGTAGGAGATTACCCGCATCCCGCGTCTATTAGGTTAAATCTATTAGTCTATATATGGAGTGCGAAGATTGTAAGAGGACTTTTAAGAGAGCAGCGGATTTGAAGAAGCATTTGAAGATGAAGACGAAGTGTTTGAGCAGCTATGATTGTAAATGTGGTAAGAAGTTTGATACGAAGGTGAAGTTGTATTGGCATTGCCAGGACTGTAAGCATGACTACGACGATCTGAAAAGGGCTTGGAACTAAGCATATAATATTTCCTAATATATATGGAATCCCAAACCAACTTCGAGACGGTGTCAATACCCGGTAACGGTGAGATTGATGTTAGGCAGTTTTGGACGAGGTCAGAAAGGAAGGTCAAAAGGACGCTACGAAAAGGCATAGAAGAATTAGGAGCCCTGAAAGCGAGCATAATGGTGGAAGTAAGCCTGTCAAAAGATGAGGTAACGACGACAGCGATGCTGCGATCGAAGTCGCTGGTCATATTAGAGTCCACGAACCTGGACAGGTCGCTTAACGAAGCCTTAGAAGCAATCACGGAGTCGCTGTCTAACTACACGAGAGAAGGATCAGGTTGGATAGTGGAGGAGGTCATGGGAATGGACATCAGCATGGCAAGGTACGTACCAATACGAGGAGGAAGTTACGTACCACTGCCAATATGGGTAGAAAGGAAGAAAGCMATAGTAAACGTGAAGAATGAAGACAACAGATGCTTCATGTGGGCAATAAGGTCAGCATTGTATCCAGTAGACAATAATCCATGTAGGACAAGCAATTACCCAACCGACGACTTGGAGTGGGATGGCGTGGAGTTCCCAATGCAGCTGTTAGATATCCCAATATTCGAGGAGGAAAATGACCTAGCCATTAACGTCTACGGGGTAAGAGACCAAAACGATAGTGCCACTAGTGCTGTCAAAGAGCGAAGGAGAGCGAATACACCTCTTCTACCACGGCGGACACTACTCATGGGTCAAACATATTAGCAGACTGTTTTACAGACATACGAAGCATAAGGGTAAGAAGTACTTCTGTGATTGTTGTTTGTTATCGTTTACCTCCGCAAAGTCTTTAAAGGAACACGATGAKATCTGCCGTGGCGTTGAGGAAGTAGCACAGCGCATACAGCTGCCCACCCAAAAGGAGTTAGAGTATGCAGACCACAAGAAGCAAGCCCGAGTGCCGTACGTGATTTACGCAGACTTCGAAGCAATCATTACGAAAGAAGACCAAAAGAATGGTGCCACGAAAAGGCTGGGATTACACGAGATCTGCTCTTACGGGTACATCGTAGTGCGTTCAGATGGGCAAACAGACGGACCAGTCATCTACGGGGGTAAGAATGCAGCTAATAAATTCCTAGAAGCGCTGAGGGAAGAGGAAGAGCAAATAAGGCGACAATTGAGGAAACCAAAGAAGGTAGCATTCACCAAAGAAAACCAAGAAGCATACGCGAAGACAAAGAAATGCCACGTATGCAAGCAGAGGCTCCTACAATACGGTAGACAAGCCAAAAAAGCTTGGGATGAGGAGGGTAAATACCTAGGAGAAGCGCACTTCAAATGTGGTACGTACTACAAGAAAGGTGAGAAAGCAGGAAAGCCATTCACGCACTGCATCCACTGCCACAAAAGATTCGTAGAAGACTTCTATATGGATAAGGTCCTGGATTACAACCAAGCGACGGGTGAATACGTAGGAGCAGCCCACTGGAGATGCAGAACGCACATGGATCCAGACATGGAGATTCCCGTGTTCTTTCACAACCTCCGCGGGTATGACTCCCACCTGCTCCTACAAGGCACAGACGGTTCCGACGTAAAGTGTATACCCAACAACAAAGAGCGTTACATGTCCGTAACGGTAGGCAAACTGAAGTTCCTAGACTCACAACAATTCATGGCGGACTCCTTAGCAAACCTTGTGAAATACAACACGGAGTTCCCCATCTCCCAACAATACGGCGCGGAACGAAAGGGAGTGTACCCATATGAGTACATGGACTCCTGGGAGCGCTTTGAGGAGCCCCTACCACCCAAAGAGAGATTCTACAGCACCCTAACCGAGTCCGGTATAAAGGACGAAGAGTACCAGCACGCATTAGACGTGTGGGAGAAGCATGACTGTCAAACGATGGGAGACTACCACGACATCTACTTACGCTCGGACGTGGTACTGCTGGCTGACGTCTTTCAAAGCTTTCGAAAGATGGCTATGGAATACTACGGGTTGGACCCCGCTAACTTCTACACCGCGCCAGGGCTCAGTTGGAGTGCCCTGCTGAAGAAGACGAACGCGCAACTGGATCTACTAACGGAGTACGACATGTACCGCTTCATGGAAGACGGTATCCGCGGCGGGGTTTGCGGGCCCAGCAGGCGATACGYACGAGCAAACAACCCACTAGTAGAGCACGACCCCGAGGAACCAACCACGTACCTTTTCTACTTAGACGCAAACAACCTCTACGGTTGGGCAATGTCGCAGTATCTACCCGTACGCGACTTCGAATGGGACGACGTAAAGCCCATAGAGTTTTACCTAGRCGTAGACAAGGAATCCGACAAGGGTTACGTCCTGGAGGTGGATTTAGAGTACCCGGAGCATTTGCACGACGCACACGACGAGTTCCCACTAGCACCAGAAGCGATAGAGATACCGTTTAAGCAGCTAAGTCCCCTGCAAAAGCAAATGTGTCCYARYTACAAACCCTACAGGAAGCTAACGAKGAACYTGATGGACAAAAAGAAGTACGTCGTTCACTACCGCAACCTGCAATTCTACGTGCGGCACGGCATGCGCGTGAAGAAGATACGCCGAGTGTTAAAGTTCACGCAGGAGCCATGGATGCGCTCCTATATCGACTCTAACACCCAAAAGCGAACAGCTGCCAAGAACGACTTCGAGAAGAACCTGTTCAAATTAATGAACAACTCAGTGTTTGGTAAGACGATGGAGAACATACGCGAGCATGTAAGCATCAAGATAGCTAGCACCAGAGAGGACGCAGAAGCATACGTCTCCCAGCCGGGATTCGTCAGATACGTAGAAATGTTAAACTTCTACGTGATTCATATGAAGAAGGCGAACCTATTCCTGAACAAGCCCGTATACATGGGGTTCACAGTGTTAGACCTATCAAAGCTGCTCATGTACGAGTTCTACTACGACAAACTAAAGCCGAAGTACGAAGACCGGTGTCACCTTCTGTACACCGACACCGATTCCTTAATACTGGAAGTGCAGACGGAAGACGTTTACAAAGACTGCATACCCGACATAGACGAGTACGACACAAGCGGTTACCCAAAGGAGCACTTCCTTTACTCCGCGAAGAACAAGAAGGTAATCGGGAAGATGAAGGATGAGATGCTTGGGAAGCCCATCGTGGAATACGTGGAGTTAAAACCAAAGATGTACAGCGTGCTAAAGCTGGACGGCGTGGAAAAGAAAGCTAAAGGCGTAAAAAAGTACGTTGTTAAGAAGGACATTACGCACGAGTCCTACCTAAACGTGCTACGTACACGTAAGGAGCAGCGGCATAAGATGAACAGCCTACGCAGCTATGGGCATCAGCTGCATAACATCACCCAGGAAAAGGTGTCGCTGTCCGCATTTGATGGTAAGAGGTGGATGTGTAATGACGGTATTCATACGATAGCATTCGGACATCACACGATAAGCAGTTCTTCTTTGACGAACCCACGCGTGGGACCATCGTGAAGATAATACAAGATGGGTTGACCCTTCTTAGCTATTACACTTCGGATCTGGTAAGTTTCCAAAGACCAATTAGGATCCGTAGCTCTTTTGGATCCTCCTTCTAATTCACCCGGCTCGTAGAGATATCGAACCGTGACATCGCCTATTCTTTTTTCCTGGGGGAAGACTGCCCTTGAACTTCTGACGTAGGACTTGTGTTCCACGTGTTTCTTCTTCATAGCATCCTTAGGTTTTATTCCCGTAGCCCTGGCCTCCTCGTTGTTTAAGGCCGCGATGACCCCGGGGAGCCTTTGAGTCCATTCCCTGTTGCGTTTGGAAGGATCTTCCAGCTCTTTCCAATACTGGTATCCAAAGAGACGCTCGGCCAAGGTCTTATTGAATCTTTCGACGATGCTCTGACCCCTGTGGTAATCTGCTTCGGCTCTTCTAATCTTAGTACCGTGGTCTTTCAGGGTCTTGGTGACCACGCCCATGAACTCTGTCCCCGCATCCACTTGCAGCAGCTTGGGCCATTTCAAAACGCGCTTGTAAATCCTACTCAGGGCTTCTGCGACTTCCCCAGAATCCTTGCTGGTTATGGGTTCGGCGTCCTTGTATCTGCTTGCGATATCAACTACGGCCAAAGCGTATCTATAGGTCTTTCTTCTCACCTTGTCGTGCGGTAAGAAAAGCAAATCCGCCTGATGAACTTCATTGGGGGCATTTACGGTAAAGCTGGGCCTGGGAATGTACTTGGGCACGGGAAGATAAACCTGCCAGAGGGTTTGTTTCCTTGGCCAGTTCTTGGCCGTTTCTTCTGATACCCTGGCCGCGGTTGCAAGTTTCTTGATAGCTGACGCTCCTCTCCAATAGCCTTCAGGCCCATAGTAAATCCTCTTGAGTTTGTCTTCTACGCGGGGCATTATATGAATTCCAAGACGAGATTGATCTTTCGCCCGTTGAAGTCCACCGTCTCTCCGTCCACTTTGATGGTGACATTTATGCTTTCTACCAATTCGCGGGACAAATCGTAGCTCAAAGAAATGAGGGTGTATTCTACCAGGTCAAATGGATTACCTTTGGGCAGAAACTTGGACATAAGAGAAGACTTTTTTCCATTGCTGTAACTATGGACCAAATCACAATAGACTTCATAAGAGGATGCGACTTTCCATTTCACGGGTATGGCCGTGTTGGTAATCGTCTTTCCCGAGGCACGTAATAAAGACCCCAATGGGTCAGACTTTCCAAAAGTTACTGAATAATTTGACATATTATGTTTGAGGGTCATTTCGTGCGGCAATCC